ATATATTGTATAACTGCCTCCTCTTCATGCTTCTGAAGCTTAGATGAGTTGGGGTGGGTATCGCGTCGTGGGGTTCTTCCGGCGCCTTGATGGCTAAGTGTACTTTGAGGAACCTTGTAGATAGCAGCAGCGCGTCGCTGGCTTAGTGACGCGTTAGATTTCATTGCTTAGGTAGCAAGTATAACTCTATCTGCACAGGAAAGTAATTCAAGATCAACTAGTTGAGCCATTGTAATTGATAGTAGAAAGCGTTGTGGTCTTGGCAGAGTGATTCGCTCGGTGGGGTGATCCGCTCGGTGGTGGACCACGTTATTATTCTGCTTGTATCTTTGCTCTCCAAGGCTCGCTGCGGGGTCTGTTTTGATGACGTCTTTGTGATGCAGCTGAGGTAAGAGGTGCTCAACAACATGAGGAAGTAGCACCAGACCACCGCCAACAACATGTAATCTGCTTCTCCTCTCAACCGTTACAGTATCGGTACAGGAAGTAGGCGTTGGAGTCTTTGAGCGCTGAGCGGGGCGTTTATTCGACCGTGGTGATGGTGGAAGAAGCGTTCTGGTCTATGAGGTTCTTGAAATGTGAGTGCGGTGAGACGAGCAGTCGTGCGGTATCGATAGCCGCTAGAACGAGTAGGACGACATCACAGCCTTATAATAAACATTCTTGTTCCTTCTTCGAAGACCTGGGGACCGTATATTGTATGCCCAGCATTGCCGTTCTCAGCTTACACTTTCGCGCGTTAGAGGCGGTGCTAATGAGACAAACTATCTGTAATTGGTGATTACGCCTAAGTTATCGTAAAGCGTATATGCAGCCGTATCTTAGCGACCCCATCAACGGGAATGTCTCGAACGGTTTTTGAAATTAAAAAGGCAGGTATTTCTCTCTGACATCCTTGGGAGTGGTACACTGCCTCGAAGATGATGCATTTGAAGCTCAACACCCACGAATGACCGTTCTCGCAACTTAAACTCATTTCCGTGTTTGAAATGATACTGTGAGTGAGAACTTGTCCCAGTCGCATCTGTCGAGGCACAATGAGCTGGGCATGCAGTGCCGCAGCTCAGGTCTTTCGGCGAACGAACCAGGTCATCCCTTATTATTCCGCGAGTTGACAATTGACAGGACGTCTGCACGGCTCCTTTGAAGCAGAAATTAGGGGAAGTGGTACAAGGACTATTCGGCAGCTGATATGGTGATAACTGGGACACCTTGGGCCCGATTTTCTCGCTCGGTCTTAGTGGCTTTGGGATACTATCATCAAGGTCCAGTACTAGAATGATCGAAGGAGATTGGGGTAGAGACGATGCTCCTGGTTCTTGTTTTAATGATCTGTCGAGGCCATTCCAGCCACCTGAGGAGTTCGGGTGTTGCTGCAAGCAATTGTTCGCAGGCTGCCAGGAGCCATTGCGGCCAGTTGCCAACCCACCAGACTGGGCGAGCTTGTGCCAGGAGCGCGGCAAAAAAAGCGATGATGATGCAGGCAACTGAATTGTGAGCTGATATCAGGTGCATAAAACGCTCTTGTAGTTGAGCGGCCCAGCCCAGGATCAGGTAATACTCGTCGCTACGCGCAGAGACATGACGGAGTCGCACAGAGGTCTTGTGAAGCTGACCAATCTCAGCAAGGCACGCCTCTCTATCCTCAGCGTTGAGCAGATGTCCAGTTACCTCATTAAGGGCTAGAATCTGCGGAGTTGAGTCGTCTTTGCCTTTTATGTCGAGGCAGTCAGTATCATCGCCTTCGGCCAAATCAACAAGGTGCGAGAAAATGCTGGTGTCCTTGATCTGCAGCCAGAACGGCATGACCACCATCTTGATACCGGCAAGGAGACGAAAGCAATGATGTATGCCATCGATTGGATCTTCAGGCTTCTCCAGCTGTGCTGAGCCAAGATTGTACGTAAACAGTATTGTAGAAGTCATGAACATTGGGATAGCTCGTTCGATGTTGGGGGCCTCGAGATGCTTCCTGTAGATAACCAGACCACGAGAAATATGTGAGTCGGCCTGCAGAAGCAGACTTTGTCGATCTGAGCCGGACACCGTGAGTGCCTTGTGCACCGCAGACAGAGCCAGGTAGCCATGGAGGAGGGGAGGATGCTGGAAAGCAATCTCTGTGCATTGGTCGCGCCAAAGGTTGTCCTCCTCGAAAGGTATCTGGTAGGGACGTAGAGATGAGTAGCACTTCGACATCCAATGGTGCAGTAAGCGAAGGTCCGGTAATGACAGCTCAGACTCGCTCGCATCAGAGTTAGCAGGGCTGTGGGCGGGCTGATGGTCTCTCACAATAGGCGAAAGGCGGTTGCTCCCATTTGACTGTGGTGATGATGCTGAGTACTGGCTTTGGGTTATGGGCCAGTTGCAGTGGATGTCGAGTCTGACACAATTTCCGCATCGTGGGCGGACCTCGTTGCACTGAGCATAACGTTAGATTGAGATCGCTTCAAGAGTATTGCCCTCTTAGGCTTCCAATGATGCGGCTCGGCAATACTTGCAACATGTGAAGGAGCTCTCTCAGGCTGCTCTGATTGGCCACGCCAAAGTCGTGGACTTACTTTGGTATGACGTGTCTTACAACTGAAACAGCCTCTACGCGACTTGGTGTGGGCCTTGCGCTTTGCAACGCGATTCTCTGCTTCCGTCATCTTGGGTGCTCATGTGCACACAATACAAAGAGCCCGCAGTAAAGATGTAAGAGGAATGCCTGACGTTGCGGCGCTGCGAAGCTGCGGCATGCGTCAGAGGCTAGTCAGCCGCGCTAACTGGCTGGAGACGGACCCAGTTCGGACGAATCCTGGAGCATTCGACATTGGATCACAGAACGCGCCTCGACTTTGTTAAACGTCAACCTACACCGGATTGATCAACGCTTAGTGTCATGTAATGGTGACTTTGCATCATTCTGTCACTCGTCTAACCTTCCTTCGACCAGTTCATCGCTGTGGAAAATCTTTCAATTCCAGCTCCTTAGATCGTGACTGGCATCTGCATTCCGCGATCCAACATTCTCTCGACTCACCTGCTACACAAAGCGCTCATCTTTTTCGGTTTGCTGGTCGGTTGCGGCTCATCTCCAGTCCTTGGTGGTGATGGCTTCCTTTGCTGTTTCGCAAAGCGCTTGTCCAGAGCAGCCTGCTGCTTTGCCCGCATCTGCTTGACATCAGTGTAACATTCATGGGCTTGTTAGTTCACGGGTGTCACCTCTGCTTGAACTTCTGCTCGCTCCTCCGGGCTCGCATAGGGCTCTGGAGACAATGTGCGTGGTTGAGACTGATTGGCACCTATGGCGATCGTGTGAAAGGAAAATTGTGAACGGAAACAGAATTCGAAAAGGATTTGAAACTCGAAGACAGGGAGATTAAAAGGTAGATAATTACGAAAAGGCCTATCCTGAGCAGGGCTGCGTAGAAACTTTGAAGCCCACCCTCTAATTAAGGCTCAGGAGTTGATCAAAATTCCATCGCAAGGCCCAGTGTAGTCCATGCTCCAGGCACCAACGCTAATATGCGGCACAAGTCAGCTTGAATGCAATCTAGAGACTACAGAGTAAACGGAAGATGAATGATAGAGCATGGCTCCAATCTAATCAGGCAGATTACTATCGAAGAACATAAATTGCGACACCCTCCTCTTCCTTGTGCGTGCGCTCTCGGCTTCGGGCGATACTCGTGTGGCAACTTTGGGTAACGTGCACGGCCTCGTAGTGCACACCGGCGCGTAATGCACACCCCACCAACATTGACGCCTACTTTGCACCCCCCATAACTCAACACCACGATGCCGCTAGAAGAAGCCCTTGCAGAGCTAGATACTTTAGGACCTGACGATACACTTTCGTACTAAGCTCTTGCTAAAAAACATAGTTATTGCTGCTTAACTTTAACACGCTGCTACCACAGCGTATGCGCGTCGCGTGAAGACAAGGCAAAAGACTAGCTAGTTCTCCACCCACGCAATAAGGTAGAGATTGTACAGTATGTTAAATTGCTTACAGAGAGACACCTTATGCCTACAAGAAAGGTTCTTGTAAGAATAATCACGCCTCTATGCAGGTGGCCGCTAAGCAATTAATAGATTTCTTGCTTCCTTTATTGTTACCCTAACAAACTCCTCACCGCCTGGTCAGCGCCTATAGAGAAGCAGCGTCACAACACTGCTTTATATAATTCCTTTCGCCTCTATTTTAATCTCCTGCATAGTACAATAAAGCAGCATGCAATAGAGGTAGAGAACACGTACAATATAGATAAGAAGGGCTTTATAATTAGAGTAATTAGAAAGAGCGTTAGAATTTTTAACAAGAAGCTCTTTAGACTCTAGAGATTCAAGCTAGCATCTTATAATAGTAACAGGAAGTAGGTAACAGTAGTAGGAGCAGTAGGAGCTAATAGTTTTGCGTTGCTGCCTGTAGTTATTTTCCCTTTATCTTCCCTTACTGTGCAACACAGCTAGTTAAAGGAATTTAAAGCCAAGAAAGACTGCGTGCACTTTAGTACCTTACTAAATAGCTAGACAAATAATGCCCTTAGACTTGCCTAGCTTAAGCAGGTGTTTAATCGCTATACTAGAGTTAGAGCGTGAGGGAAGTACTAACTCTTGATCCTTAATGGTCACGGTAGCCACGTTACGAAGGCTTTTATTGAGTACGCTCATGCCAACAAGATTCTAGTACTTCTATTCCCTCTGCATGCTACTCACGCGCTTCAGCCGCTTGATGTAGCGTGCTTTAGGTCGTTGGCGCATCACTACTCTGAAGAGCTCCTTCATCGCGGCCACACTACTGAGGGGTGGGCGCCTGTAGCTCAGAGCGACTTCTTCCCACTCTTCTGGGCAGCGTGGAAGAAGACCTTCACTAAAGGCCTCATAGAAGAGGCCTTTAGGTGCACTGGGATCTACCCACTAAATACCAACGTTGTCCTTGAGAGTTTTAAAAATACAACACTAAAGTCGCCTAGCACAACCCTAGAGCTAACTAGGCTTAAGCCTGCACTAGAACCACCTAGTTAGCGCAAGACTTAAAGGCTACTTAAGCGTGCAAGAGAAGAGGATAAGTCTAGTGCTAATAAGGCACTTAATTAAGCGCTTTACTAACTCTACGTGCAATTAGAGGTTGTTTAATATAGAGTTACAGGCCTAGAAGAGGCTCTAAGTATAAATAAGAAGAAGAAGAGGAAGCAAAAGGTACTACCTTTGTAACCTGTTAATAGTAATAATAGTAGTAGTATAGTCTTATAGAGTCCTTCACGCATTAAGCGCGCAAAGCAAGAACTTTAGGTAAAAGAGGACCTTAAGCACGCTGTAGAGGCAGCAAAAGCTACTAAGAAGGAGCTTTAACACTAGAAGAAGATTATTTAAGCAAAGGAGAAGGAGGATAAGCGTGTTAAGTAAGAGAAGAAGAAGGTATTAACAGCTAAGGCACAGGCTGCAAAGCGCGCTTAAACTAAGGCTTATAAAGAAGAGGCTTAGTGTAAGAGTAATATAGAAAAAAGAACTTAATTACCTAAACAGGCTAAGAGTAAGGTCTTATAGAAATCTTAGTTAAAAGTAATAAAGAATTGTAGTAGTAGTGCTGCGTAAAGGCGGCGTGTTGCCTATAAGGCGCCCTCACTACTACTACCTACTAAGGCATCTACTAGCTGTACCACGCGTCTTCCTAGAAAACTATAGTAGCTAAAAGTTTCGCAATAGTCTATAACGTGTTTCCCATGCGAGCGGGCACCCCAAGCGAGTCGGCAGCTCTTCCCCACCAACACGCCTGCGCGGCGACAACGCGTAATGTCTCAACAACGCAACGTCTAAAAGTCCTATAACAAAGGAAATGTATTCCTTGCTATCTCTAATATAAAATTAAAGCGAATACAGAGCAAGAAACGCGCTGTAGAGATCTATAACGTCCCTTGAACGACTATCCAAGCGCAACGCGCTGGACAACGCGCCTGAAGCGATTGTGAGCTAAACTTAAAGCGCCTTACAAAGCTAGAAGAGGAGGTGGTTCTACACAATATACTTGACGTGTCTCTACGTGGACTACCACCAACAAAGGCTCTTGTGCGAGATATAGCTGATAGACTGCTAAGAGAGCAGGATGGGAAGCCTGTTGGCAAGCACTAGGTAGACAACTTCATTAAGCGTACACCTGAGCTTAAGAAGCGCTGGAGCCGGCCGTATGATCGCCAGCGTGCTGCCTGCGAGGACCCAGCGCTAATCCAGCCCTGGTTTGAGCTTGTTTAATTGATGAAGGCGAAGTATGGCATCCTTGATAAGGATACCTAGAACTTTAATAAGACTAGCTTCCTAATAGGCAAGATCACATCTTAGCTCGTAGTAACAGGCTTAGATAAGCCTAGGAAAGCGAAGAAGCTACAGCCTAGCAATTGCAAGTAGACTACCCTGGTACAAGCTGTCAGCGCAACAGGGAAGCGCATCCCACCCTTTATTATCTTTGCTAGCAAGGTGCTTATCTCCACCTGGTTTGAGCTAGGTATACCACGCAACTAGATCATCCAAGTAAGCCTAAACAGCTGGACAAATAACGAGCTAGCGCTTGCCTGGCTTAAACACTTTGATACGCATGCGAAGCCTATAGGAGCGTGGAGACTGCTGATTATTGACGGCCACAAGAGCCACTGCTCAGCTGATTTCCAAGAATACTGCAAGGAGAATAAGATAATTGCCCTCTGCATGCCCCCTCACTCATCGCATCTACTGCAGCCTCTTAACGTCGCCTGCTTCTCGCCGTTGAAGCGCAGCTACAGCAACAGCATCTCAGCCTTGGCGCGCAACCACATCCACCATATCAGCAAGGAAACCTTCCTACTAGCCTTTAAAGCTGCATACAAGCAGACATTTACAAAGGAGAACGCTTAGGCAGGTTTTAGAGGTGCTAGGCTAGTTCTACTAAACCTAGAGGTAGTGTTGTTAAAGCTTAATGTAAGGTTGCGCACGCTGACTCCACCACAGCGCGACGACGCCGCGTGGGAAGCGAAGACGCTGCGCAACGCTAAAGAGGTAGAGGCTTAAACTACGCTTATTTAACAGAGGATGCAAAGACGCTCAGGTTCTACTGCAAGCTCCCTTGACGAGCAGGTACAACAGCTGAGTAAAGGCGCTCAGCAGATTGCGCATAATATGGTGTTGCTACAGGAGGAACAGGCGCGCATGCAAAGCGCAATTGAAGAGCTTATAAAGCGCAAGGGCTGTAAAAGGCAGTATGTACAGGTAGAGGAGACCTTAATAGTTAGTAAGGTATCTAACTTAATTACTAAAAGAGAGGGTAGTAGTTATAATAATAGCAAAACACCTGCGAAGAGGGTGTGTGCAGAGAGGCACTATAGTTATTGTGGCAAGACTAGGCATAACTCCTGCACCTGCAAGGTAGAGATAAAGGATGTAGATAATAGCAAAGAATCTGAAGTATAATCTACTGTTGCGTATAAAAGAAAATATTGTTGTAGCATTGCGTAGTGTCGCCGCGCAGGCGTATTGGTGGGGAAGAGCTGCCGACTCGCTTGGGGTGCCCGCTCGCATGGGAAACACGTTATAGTAATCTACTAACTTATCTCGCAATACTAGCATTGTGATGTTGCTTAATAACCTTACTTATTTGGGGGTGCAAAAGGTGGTGGGGTGTGCATTACGCGCCGGTGTGCACTACGAGGCCGTGCACGCTAACGTGTTTTATAAGCGAGTCGTCAATACAAGCAAGTCGTCAGCCCCACCAACTTTGATCACCTCTTCCATCTCAACGTGCAATGGCTCCACACTACGCTTCTTAAGCGCCTTTAAATAAAGCTGATATTTAGCTTGCTATTAATTCTATTAAAGCCCAGCAAATTAGGTCTGAAAGCTGCGCTGCTGTAGTCTATAATGTCCCTTGTATGACAATGCGCGACTGACGCGCTGGCAAGCCTGCACAACGCAATTGCCAACCCAACTTAAAGAAGCTTACTAAGCTAGAAGAGGAGGTAATTGTAGTCTATATACTTGATCTGGATTAACGTGGTTTTGCGCCTACGTACGCAGCAGTGCGTGATATAGCTAATAAGCTGCTGGCTGCGCGCGGTGTTGGTCACGTTGGTGTCCACTGGCCACGCAACTTTGTTAAGCAATCAGACAAGCTTACAACGCGTTTCAATCAAGCGTACAATAGGCAGAGAGCCTTGTGTGAGGATCCTGCCTTAATTAGCAGCTAGTTTAAGCTTGTAGAGCAGACAAAGGCAAAGTAGGGGATCTGTAACAAGGACATCTACAACTTTAACAAGGCTAGCTTTATAATAGGCAAGATTACAACTTAGCTTGTTGTGACAGGGTTAGAGAGGAGAGGCAGGCTAAAGGCTGTTCAGCCTAGCAATCGCGAGTAGGTGACAGTTATTACTGCAATCAACGCTGCTGGCTGGACAATCCCACCCTTCCTCATCTTTGCTGGCTAATACCACTTGTCTGCCTGGTACAAGGAGGCAGAGATCCCACGCAACTAGGCGATCACAGTCAGCGACAACAGCTGGACGAACAACAAGCTTGGAGTTAAGTGGCTGAAGCACTTCAACGCTCACACGAAGACTTGTAGTGTGGGTGCGCGTCGCCTGCTTGTCCTTGATGGCCATAAGAGCCACCACTCTCTTGAATTTCAAGAGCTTTGCAAGGAGAACAATATCTTCACGCTCTGTATGCCGCCTCACTCATCTCATCTGCTGCAGCCGCTTGACGTTGGCTGCTTCTTGCTGTTGAAGCGCGCGTACAGCCGTGAGATTGAGGCTCTGATCCGCCACCACATCAACCACATCACCAAGCTTGAATTCCTGCCAGCCTTTAAGGCAGCCTTTGATCGCACCTTCACAACAGCTAATATCTGCTCAGCCTTTCAAGGCGCAGGCCTTGTCCCTTACCAGCTAGATGCTGTCTTATTAAAGCTGAACGTGAAGCTGCGTACACCTCCTTTGGCTGCTCTACTAGAGGCTGCCTGGCAGGCTTAAACACTAAGTAACGTACGTAAGCTTAAGGCTTAATTAATATTAATTTATAAGCGCGTAAGAAAGCATAAGAGCTCCTTACCTGCCTTAATTATTAAAGCAATTAATTAGCTTAAGAAAGGAGCTAAGGTAATAATACTCTCTGCTAAGCTTATGCGCAATTAGATTGCCAGCCTTGAGAGAGCTAACAAGGCAGCCTTAGCGCGTAAACAGCGCAAGAAAAAGCGACTCTAGAAGCAAGGAGTCTTGACAAAGGGAGCTGGAGAGGATATACTCGCTTAGCGTAAGGCTGATCAGCAGGTTGCCCGTGTAGAGCCTCAAAGTGGAGAGCAAGCAGGCCTCAGCCGCCAGGCTCTTGCGCGCTGCAGCAGGTGTAGAGAGACTGGGCATAACGCAAGAACGTGTAAAACGGACTTTGTAGATCCTGCTTAAACTAGTATATTAATACATATATACTGCCTTACAACGTGGTTAAGTTATACGCTTAAAGAGGTGATTAAAGTTGGTGGGGCTGACGACTTGTTTGTATTGACGACTTGCTTGTAAAACACGTTACCGTGCCGGAGCTCGTGCCGCACGGTTCCGCGTTCCGCACGCGATCACCAAAACAACGAAATATCCTCAACACTACAACTCAACAACGCGATGACTTTAGAAGACGCACTTAAAGACACACACGCAGCTAATGCGCGCAGTGAACTTTGCTACTAAAAAATTGCAGATACACATAGTGTTGATTGTTCAACGTTGTTGCGATATCACTAAGGCGTTCGCGGCACTATGCAACAGAAGATCAAACAACAACAGAACCTCACCCCCTACAAAGAGCTAGAGCTTGTTGATTACATAGATTAACTCTGCAGAGAGCACCTTCCACCTACGCGCGATATGGTTCAACATTTCGCCTCTATTATCTGCGGATTTGAGGTTGGGAAGACCTGGGTTACACGCTTCGTCCAGCGGCATCACAAAGCGCTTACTCCACAGTGGACCTCCGCCATGGCCTCCGAACGTCACGCCGCTGATTCCTATAGTAAGTACAGCTTGTACTTTGACATGTTAGAGCTTAAAATAAGCAAGAAGGGTATAGAGCCTGAGCACACATACAATATGGATGAGAAGG